ATTACTTACTAGCTGTTCCCGTGCGGCTTCACCCGCGGAAAATTATGAAAATTTTATTTTATTGTATACATTTGTCAAATTATCAATTACAAATGTCAAAATGACATGACATGATGAAACCTTGCTTCCTTGATGTTGGCAGCAACTTATGGTCTCTTTCCCACATTAGGGTTTTATCCAAAATTTTCACCCCCTAAGTTTAATGGCGTGAAGATATATAGCCTAAAGCGTGATGTAAGTATAGGGCTTTTTATTAAAATAAGAATTATTCAAAATTATGCTGTAATTTCTGAAATGTAAGGCAACAAATAAATGTGTGTTTACGCTTTATTATAATAGTATAGAAAAGGAAATTGCTATCTCCAATTTACAAGTAATAATGCTGCTCGTATTTTTATAACACAAGCTACTGGTTTAAATGAATATAGGTTATCTTACTGAGATAACGCCATCTGAAACTAAACTGTCGCACAACTGTTTAGTCCCGCTATGATTCCTATGAGCTTATATGGAGCGCACACTACTCGATTTTTAGTTGTGCAACTAAACAGTTGAATTGGCCACGAAACAATCGACAATCGAATAATAGTTGTGCGATTGTTTGCTCAAAGATGTTCGCCAGCTCTTTTAAATGCGAAAATTTACATGGATGTTTATTAGAGTTTGTAACCTTAACTGCTGAACGAATATCGACGATATTTGGCAAAGATATAGAGGATAGTCTGGAAGAACACATAGGATACTTACTTTACTTTTTTAATTTCACTCAGAGTTGCGGGCGAAAACTAGCATTTATGTATGCAAGGAATTATGAATTTCTTGATCCAATCTGTATTAAAAAATAAAAGTTACATTAATTTTACTAAGGAAACATTTAAATGTTATTTTTTACATCTTTCAAGGTAAAGCTTCTGTATTGTCCAAAACATACTAGACTATAAAGTTTTCTTTAAGTAAATCTTACTAATATTATAAATGCGAAAGTTTAGACGGATGGATGTTTGTTATAGTTTGTAGCCTAAACGGCTGCACGGATCTGGATGAAAATTGGTACAGATGTTGAGGATAGTCTGGGAGAACACATAGGCTACTAACTTTTGTCTTGTCTACCCCCACGTGGATGCAGTCGCGGGCGTAAGCTAGTAGTAATAAGTAAGGATATAATAGTTGATAATATGCGTAGATGTGCACTGGCTCAAACACGCCTCTATTCCGTCTAACATTAATTAACTCTCAGCCTCTGAAAGTTCACTTCCGTTATCAAAGTTAGCAACTTGCTCGTCAGACTTGATCGGCTTTATCAGACAACTGTAATCAATACTTGCGCTATGTTATATAGGAAATAAACTATCATTAACTAATTAAAAGAGACTCCATCAATACGTAGATAAATTAAAAAAAATATCTGCAACATTGCAAATTTTCAGCGAGATCCCTTAAGACGTTTTGGAGCTGATTTAGATACGAAATGACAAACATAGAT